AGGCGGGTCTCGAACCCGCGGGCTCAGGCAATTCACTCACCTCAGCCTCCCAAAGGCACGGGATTACAGGTTGAGCCACCGAGCCCAGCTATCCTTTTTTTAACAGTCCCAGGTCTTGCGAGAATGAAGAAAAGAAGGTGTACAAGACTTTAATCTAGGCTATTACAGACTTTAATCTGCTTTCTTGTCATTATGGACAATCATGAGACCTCCTGGTCCGTCTGATTGCAGTCCTGTCAGATTCTGTGTTCTACCTCTTCCTTCCACCACCACCCCCAGTCCCAACACCATTCTTTCTCTAGTCATTCACCTGCTTCTCTACCCTGACTCTGTCACATAGAAATTCATGGAGATCTGCTATGTACATAGACAGGCCCCCTAAGAAATTTTAATGTATGGGATAAAGGAGCTCTTAAATCTGATCCCAACAAATACTTCTCTCTCATTCTACATTTTTTTAAACTTTATGCTTTCAAGAGTCTTTTAACATTTCAGTACAACAAATTTCACCTGAAATACTTAAAACAGGATTTGTATGTGTGCAGGGAGGGCTCTGGAAAAATCCTGCCATAAAACATCCTGAGAAAGTTTTCAGATAGGAAGGAGCAAAGGAAGCTCTAGATTGTTTACAGCAACTTCTAGTTTGGTCTTCTACTTTCAAGAGAAAGAAAACAGAAAGTACTTAAGTACCTTTTCTACTTTCTCTCTTTTTCATTAATAGTACTATTTTATGATAATCAATACATTTTCATTGTTCCAAACTTGGAAAATGCTAAAAAGAAAGTTAAACAAGAAAACAAAATGTACACAGAATCCTACATGCTACCAAGAGCATCACTATTAATATTTTGACATATTTCCATCTAATCTTTCTTTCTATGCATACATTTTTTTTTTTTTTTTTTTTTTTTGAGTTGGAGTCTCACTCTGTCGCCCAGACTAGAGTGCAGTGGCCACTCCTGGCCACTGCAACCTCGACCTGCTGGGCTCCGGCGATCTTTCCGCCTCGGCCTTCCGAGTAGCTGGAATTACAGGCATGCGCTACCACGCCCGGCTGATTTTTTTATTTATTGTAGAGATGAGGTCTCGCTGCCCAGGTGGGTCTCGAACCCGCGGGCTCAGGTAATCCACTCACCTCAGCCTCCCTAAGGCGCGGGATGACAGGCTAAGCCACCGAGCCCTGCTTATGCATGCATTTTTTTCATGTGATTGAGAACTTTTTTTTTGTTTGACATTATTTAAAATTGTAACTGACTGTTTTAAATTATTATATCATAATTAATCATTCCTCATTTATGCACATTTGGGTTTTTCCCTATTTTTTAATACTATGAATTACAACTAAATTTAATTCTGTGTTATAACTATTACTTATAAATTAATACAGTGAACATCTTCAAGGATAAATCTGTATCTGAAGTTCTGATCATTTCTTAAAACCTCCCTCGAAAGAAAGTAACAGTTAAAGATAAAAAACTATTTTAACATTTTAAAATTCATATTGCTAGATTGTTTTCCCTTTTCTTCTTAGCAAATATTTAGGTGACATAGATATAGTTTCTGACTTTTAATTCCACCTTAACTTTATCTTTTGATTATCTTATTTTATATATATTTAAATCCCTGAATATATTTATAGCTGTATATTCATTTATTTCTCCTGATTATGTGATGTGTTTTCCTGTCTTTGCTTGTCTCATCATCTTTTATTTTTTGTGATTCTATATTGTTGAACATCTGAATTTTTTATCTTCCATTATAGAAAATTAAGTTTTTGTTCTGGCAAACAAAAATTTACTGACACGTAAGCTTGTTTTAGTTGTAACTTGGTTTTAGATATTGTAAAGGTGGATCTAGAGTAAGTCTAGAATAACCTTCTCAAATGTGGCCTTTCGGGGTCTCAACCAAATACCCAGTTCTGGCTGAACTCCAGCATCTCTCAGCATGGTGTGACCTCTAGCCTCTCCATTTGGAAATGTCCTTTAGGCAGAGAGGTAGGATGAATGTCCCCTTGAGCATTTCTCTTTTCACAGGGATTACAGCCCTGTACTGCCTGTTGTCTGATATCCGAAAACAGTTCCGTATATTTTGCCCATTTTTGTTGTTTATAATTGGAAGGTGAAACTGGTACCTGTTACTATGTCATAGTCTTATGTATTACATATTTCTACATATCTATGCTGAAGGTATGATTGAAAAAACAGGAATAAAGGAAATTTATGAGTATCATTGCACCTTAATTTTATTATTTCTTGTTTTATAAAGATACTACGAGGCCAAAGCGTGACTACGAGGTGGATGGCAGAGACTATCACTTTGTCATTTCCAGAGAACAAATGGAGAAAGATATCCAAGAGCACAAGTTTATAGAAGCCGGCCAGTACAATGACAATTTATATGGAACCAGTGTGCAGTCTGTGAGATTTGTAGCAGAAAGAGTATGTTCACCAATCTTCTTATATCTCCCCTGAAAAAGGTTTCTAGGTGGCAAACTGCATTTTGTTTTTTTCTTGGTCATTACTCTTTTCTGACTGCAGTTATAAATTTAGATTAAATGTTCCTTAAGATATCCAAGCATAGAATCACTTTAGAGCAATGTCATTCATCTTTGTTCTAATCTCAGTAAAGTATTTTGACTGACATAGAGGGAGTGAGAAGGGGAAGGGGTCTATAAACCTAAAGACAATTAACAGCCTGAAGTTTATGGGGATTCGCTGTATCCTTGACTCACTGTCTGAGGCCCCAGTAAACAACACTGAATTTATTAAGGAAGGTTTACTACTTTGGTTGTCTGGATAGGGATTCTTAATTCTTTTGTTGGAGGAAGGTAGCTTTTTGTCTCTCTGAAAACATCCTCATGATGGTGCAGGGGATAGATGAAGAGGGCTGCCCAGCCTGTTACTGGCAAAAGTTCCAACTTAGCAGAGGTGTAGATGCTGCAGTTTTCTTCTTGATGATAACTTCAAGGGCAGGAGCAAAGGAGAATGTTCAAAAGAGGATAGGATTGGAAAACACCCAAGTGTGCTTTAAGATCTGCCAGCAAAGAAATCCTGCCTCCTGTGAATACAGAGAACTAATTTCATAGGAAAAAATATTTGTTTATTTGAGTTGATTTGACATGACCTTTGTCAAGGTACAGATAAAGAATTAAACAAGAAATGTTAATGTCTATCTGAGAATACACTTAAGACATATCCTCTGTTTCCTTCTCTCTCAAAAGTTTGATTCTATCAACTTTGTGAATACTGGTTCTAGTCAGAGTGTCCTGGATAATTGCATCTGTTTTCCTTGCTGAACATGTAGGTACAACTCTCATTAACTTGAAATGCTCTGACCAGTGAAAAATCAAATAGCATTTATACATTTTATATAGTGGCTGCACTTCACGAATAGTAAACTTGAAATTTTATGTTTTTCATAGAGCTCAAGCATTCACTGAACTCTGTTCATTTTCATGTGGATATTATGGAAGAATTTTTAGCCCTCATTATTGATTTAGGGCTTTTCCTATCTGCATAAAGTGCTGTTTTTCTCTTCTTGTGTAAAATTCTTCTAGCCTCAGGGTAATGAGGCCATTTCTCTCCAGGAGGTAGAATATGATGTGGCAAATGTATCTACTTTTCCAGAAATACTTTATAAAGCAGTTCTTTTCTCTGAGCACTCATTGCAGCGGAAGCCAAGTTAAATGAGGTGTGCTATATTGTAATAGGGTTTCTATTTGTTAACAAACAAGAGATTTACATGACTTGTACAAGGCTCTCTCTCAGCATTTCACTATATAATATTTTACCTCTTTTTGTGTCTGTCCTCCACTAGACAGATGGACACAGAAGTACTCAGCAAAAAGTTTATGGAATTGTTCCAAATTCTCTTGATTGCCTTTCTTCCAAGTTTAAGGGCAGGGTGAGACAATGAGGGATCTGTTCATTCCAACCAACAGTTCTGTCAGCACCTAAGACCTGGGTTTGAGTGCTCCTAGCACTGAATTTTTGAGCAATTTTAGTTAATATTTCTAAGCCTTAATCATCTCTTTTGTAAAATGCGGTTGATAGTGCCTACCACATAGATTTGGGAATTTCTTCTTGACACTTGTCTTCAGGGTTATTTTTTTCTTCTTGACACTTGCCTTTGGCCCTCATGAGAATGGGCTCAGTCACATAACATGTGGCTGCATGCCTTCTTTGTGTAGAGCATCTGGTATTGATTTAAGAAAATAAAGCTAACCAACAGAACACATAAAAGTGTCTAGTCCAATGGCAGACACTTAGTAAGGGGCTAATGAATACTAGTTATTGCAAGCTGTTCGTGACGACCCTGTATATTGACTTCTATTTGCTCTTCGCAATGATCTTTTTCAACCTTTAGAAATCTAGCGTCTCTCTAGCTTCGTCTAAAACACACATACATTTTTCTTTTGGATTAATTATGGCCATTTTTTTCTGTATTAACTCCATATTTTTCTTCTCTTTTCAACAGGGCAAGCACTGTATACTTGATGTATCAGGAAATGCTATCAAGCGGTTACAAGTTGCCCAGCTCTATCCCATTGCCATCTTCATTAAGCCCAAGTCTCTGGAACCTCTGATGTGAGTAGAGAGCACGGGAGGCCTTCACCCAACTAACTTTCTGTTCCATATTACACTGTAAATTGTTAACAACTCTATGTCACAAATGTTCACCAGTGGAAATGCCTCTGTTGATTTTTAAGCTTTCCCTTTTTTAAAAAGATACATTATAGTTTGCTTGAACCACTAGAGACATTCTGTCAGTAATTCCCAAAAAAATCTCCTGATTTTTATTTTTTATTTCATAAGTTGTTTTGTTTATTTTAGTTTAATTTTTTTGGTTTGGGTTTTTTTTTGGGGGGGGTGATATTGTCTTGAGGGTAGCTTGGTTTAGTTTGATTTGCTCTTTGGTTAGGTTTTATTTTCCAAATGATAGATAGCAATTTTTTTTTAATTGTCTCTTACTTCTGAGAGCAAGTCTATGGGTACGTCTTTTTAAATGTGTGGGTTTTGTAGAATTCTAATGTTCCTTAAGTAAACATATAGAGACTACTGCTCCTTTTTTTTTTCTTTTTCTTTTTCTTTTTCTTTTGTAGAGTCATGGTCTCACTGTGTTACCCAGACAGGAATGAAGTGGTATGGTCACGGCTCACTGCAGCCTCAACTTCCTGGGCTCAGGCAATCCTTCTGCCTCAGCTCCCAAGTAGCTGGGACTACAGGCACACACCATCACTACACCTGACTTATTTAGTTAATTAGTTAGTTAGTTAGTTAGTTAGTTAGTTAGTTAGTTAGTTAGTTAGTTAGTAGAGAGACAAGGTCATGCTATGCTACCTAGGCTGGTCTTAAATTCCTATGCTCAAACAATCCCCATGCCACGGTCTCCCAAAGAGCTGGGATTGCAGGCAGGGACCACCATGCCCAGCTTAGACTATCATTCTTAATAGGAAGTTTTCTTAGTGGCTGACAGTAAAGCATCTATAACTTAAGCCAATAGCTCCAGACCTGTGCACATTTATGAACAAGGGGAAAATGTATGACTCAGATTTTTTTCTTTTTCAAAGGACTTGTGAAATATCTTCCTTTAAATTCAGTAAACAGATTGGGCAGATATTCACAATGATACTATAAAGTCAGTATAGGTAATTTCCATTCATAAAAGTAAAGCTGTAATATGTAAACAAAGAGGTTACTAGCAGAGACTTGAAAATTAATCTGGCTAGATTGGGTGATTTGCTTTGCTGATCAGTGGATCTGTTATGTAATCTTAAGCAAATTACTTGATCTCCCACATATGTGGTCCCTCATTAGTGCATAAACTAGGCACATCAATAAATACCTCATGGAGTTAGTGGAAAGGTTAAACAACAAGATTAAGGATGTAAAGCTTGGCATATAATAAGTACTCAACACATGGTAGCAATAGTATTATTACAAAAGATATAAAATTACTTTCCTATAAAGGACTAAAGCTATTTTATTACTACAGAACACATAAACAGCACCTTTTTATGAAAGTGTAAGAGATATTGCCAGTGTGTCTGTTATAGGAACCTTGCTCAAACACTGCCTCCATTTGGGCCTCAAGATGGGGTGAAGTATTTGACAGGGTTCAGGAGTGAAACACAGAATACTGGAAAAAAATGTTTCTGAAAAGACCAACGAAACAGAAATTATTTAACCCCAGAGGTGAAAGCAGTTACTTACAGAGGATATTGACTAACTGTTCCATGTATCCTTTGAGAACAAAGAAGCAAAGCAAACTGTAGCAGCTGGAATAGCAGCCTGAGAGAATTAAATTAAATATATATTTGAGCTTTGGGGAAATCGCCAGAGGTTTTTGTTTTGTTTTGTTTTGTTTTGTTTTGTTTTGTTTTAGTTGGAGTCTCACTCTGTCGCCCAGGCTGGAGTGCAGTGGCACACTCACAGCCAACCCAGTGTCAACCTTCTGGTCTCAGGTGATCCTTTCACCTCAGCCTTCCAAGTAGCCAGAACTACAGACGCACTACCATGCCTGGCTAATTTTTTATTACTATTTATTGTAGAGATGAGGTCTCACCAAGCCATGTTGTTCTCGAACCCGTGGGCTCAGGCAATCCCCTCACCTCGGCCTCCCAAAGTGCTGGGATTGCAGGCTTGAGCCACCGTGCCCGGCCAAGATGTATCTTAAAAGCAGAATATAGACCTATAAATAAAAGATGGACAAGGATTTTTACCAAGATGAAAAAATAAAATTGAAAGGTCACTGACAATACCTTCAGCCCCTTAAACTTAGGTATTAAATTATGATGTGAAAGCTTTTCCCATGGTTGGCACATGAAAATATATATATATTGATGATAAAATAATGATTCTTAATATCATTATCCCCAATAGTATGTGTTAAATTTCTCCTTATGTAGGAAACTGTGTTGGGCATTCCACAAAGTGAATTAGGTAAAAATTAATTTCATTATGTGAAATTGATTTATAATATTTAATGAGCCTCACAGATATTATAAGGAATGCTAACATTCACAAGAAGTGTAGGAAAATGGCCCTCACCTCCTGGAAACAGCCATCTTAAACGCCTGTTTCAGAAATAGATAAATAAGTCTACATATCTTAAACACACTTGCCCCGGGAAGTGAAGCCTGAGAGAGTGATAGCAGTGGTACATTTGGTCCAGTGTGCTATTGGGAGCCAGTTCTATCTGGTGTTCCATAGGAGAGGGTCTACTTCCTTCCACAACTATAAGGTGACTTATTTAGTTCTGCCTTAGGGCACTGCCACAGACATTTATCACCAAGGAAAGTTAAACATACTGGTGACTGGCTTTCACAATGAGGACAGTGAATCTGACATAATTTGCTGTGGCCATATTCATGGGTCTCAAGTGCAGCAATGATGACATTCAGACCAATGCGATTTTAATATTAAATGCTGGATGTTTACTTTACGGTTCACTCTTTTCCACGACTTTTCCTCCAGGAGCAAAGCTGCCATGAATTGCCCGTTCCTCAGGGAGAAGTGAATGCTAGGTCAACCAGAACAAAAGCATGGCAGCTGTCACATTTAGGCATTGATACATCATCACACACATTATATGTCTCAAGTGCACCATCTACATCAAACCACAGAGCTTATTAGTACATACATAGCTGACTCTTTAGAGTAGCATAAAATCAAGGGCATGTATGGAAAAGATGTTCTTTATTAATATTGGGCCACTATCTGACTTCTGTTCCCTCCACCCACAACAATGTCTCTTCACCCTGCCACCTCCAGTCTGCTTTTGCCTTCTTGTTCCTGTGTGTTTTTTCACGTGCCCTGTGTTTACTTCTGTCTTCAACTATATCATAATTATATTTATTTCTGTAGCTCCCTATTTATTTACGTATTCATTCACTTACTCATTCAACAAGTAAGTGTTGAATCAGGCTCCATGTCACATGCAGATAAACAAGACATGGTCTCTACCCTCCAAGAACTCACAGACTGTTCAAGGAGATAAAATAAATGTACATGTCAGATTATGAAACCTTAAACTACATCATTGTTACAATAAGTAAAAAGGGAATTCAGAGAAGATGGACCACCATGAGCCAGGCAAGTCCAAGAAGATAAAGAGCTCCATGATTTCTTGATATCTGGTACAAATCACCATCTTTGTCCAAAGAGTATCCCTTGATTTAACCCAGTATCTTCTCCACCCAAGAGTGGTAACCACTCACAACCTCCAGGGCTAGAACTGCTTGGGAGAAGAATTATAGATACCATCCCTCAAGGCAAAGTGAGTTGACTTCAGCAACAAGCATTCAGGAAATTCCCAGTTTTTTTTTAATACTCTAGCTGTTAGTGTCTAACTTCTGCCTTTATTTTTTTCCAAATAAGCCTCTTTTGAATGATATCAAATCTTGGTATAATGAGAAGTCTGTTTGACTAAAAATTGGCTTACAAAAACAAAATCTTGGGTTTTTATTAAATTTTTATTAAATTTTTTATTAAACGTAGAACCTTAGGCAAGTACCTTCACTACTTCAAGCCTCTGTGACTAGCTCTGAAAAGGAATTGATTAAGACCGGATGTTCCAGACCCATATCACTGACATCCTAAGTGGCAAGCAAGGCAGTAATGATTTCAGACATTCCACATGTACCTGTGATGCATCCTGATGGGCCAACCAAAATGACTTTGCATTTGGCTGAACACTTTTTTTTAACACCTGGAGGACATGAGATGATAAAAGCTGCCAGTAGTTAGGAATCAGTAGATTCAATTTTAGAGAGAATTAGAGAATTTTTCATTTCTCTCTCACTTTGATTTATCCTTGAGACTAGGCTGGTGTTTTAAAAATTGATAAGTAATAGTTGTACATATTTTGGGACCACATTTGATTATGTCTATATACAATGTGTAATGATCAAATCAGGGTAATTTGGATATCTGTCTCCCATCACCTCATACATGTTTGGGACAGTATAATTCTTCTACTTGCTTTGAAATATACAATAAGTTATTGTTAACTAAAATTTTGCTACTGTGTTATCGAATACAAGAACTTATCCTTCTATCTAACTGTATTCTGTGTCCCTTAGCCAACTTCTCTTCTTTCCTCCCACCCCTTCCCTTCTCAGCCTCCAATGACCACCATTCTACTCTCCCACATTTAAGAGAGACCAAGATACTATAAAACAAAGTTCAAGCAAGGGTTGCCAGGAATGTCTGGAGCTTAAAAACAAAAACAAAAACATTTCCAATGAGGAGGTCACTGAAGCAAGTAGGACAGTTTATTGTGAAGAAGTGGAAGCCTCAAGAGACACAGGAGCACTTTACTTAAATACCCTAGGACATGCCATGGAGGAAGTTTAGCCCTCCTCTAGGGGACTGCAAGGGCAGAACAGGAACCAGTGACTGAAAAATCCTAGAGACAGATTCTGTTTCAGTGCAGTGTGAGACCAAAAGATCACCCTCTGAGAGAGTGAGCTTTCTGGCAAGAAGTCCTTGTTGCTGGAGTTAGTTCAGCAAAAGAGGAGTCCTGAATGAAGACAAAGAAGCTGCTGCTAAGATTACACTATCCTTTTTTCAGGATTTAATTTTGTCATACATTTTATTTTTAAAGATTTGCTGTATTCCCTTTATGTTCTAATACCAACCCCTCATTTTCCCAGGGAGATGAATAAGCGTCTAACAGAGGAACAAGCGAAGAAAACCTATGATAGAGCAATTAAGCTAGAACAAGAATTTGGGGAATATTTTACAGGTAAGTTCCCTTACCCTGGTAGTGTGAGAATGGAGATAAATTGTCTGACATTTGGCATAAAGAGGGCTCTGGGCCTGGTATATCTGGGCCCTAGAACCTCCCTGTTGATATTTTCTTGTCTCTGCTGCATGCACAGGGAGTGTCCCTCTGCTTCATCCTTTTGATTCAGGAATCTGGGTTCCCCCTTCTCTGAGTTTAGCTATAGCCCGCTCCTAGGTTCCCATAGGCCCTATCTAAAACCATGGCCGTGGAAGCCCCTGAGCTATCTCCTGCTGTACAGGAGATTTTAGGTGTTGATGCCATATTAAACTATCTCTCTAATATAATCAGGAAACTTGAAAAAGAAATTTTTAGGGCTCAAATGGGCAGTGTCCAAAACAGTTCCTTTGGAGCAGCTGTCTCAGACCTCCTCCTCTGCTTGTCTGTCAGCAGCACTTGAACAAGGCACTTGAAACACTTGCTCGTGTTTCAGTTAATTCTGTATCAAGTCTCAACTCAAAAATTTTTTTTTTTTGAAATATTTCTTTGGAAACATGAAGTTTGGGGAGTAGAGGGCTTTCCCCACCCCCCTGGAAATCCCGAGTTCTCTATTCTCATAAACTTTCATGGAACACCGATTAAATCCAGAGGGTAATCCCACTTTGTAGAATTTGCCTTACAACTGATTTTCAATGGTTTACAAACAAGAACTTACCTCCTGAATTACTTTATATAAAACTAGATGTTTTATTTTTTATCTTACTCAGGATATGGAAAGTGCCAGGGCCTTAGCAGTTTATAAATATTTTGAATTGGATAATATTAGGTAAACTTTCTGTCAATAAGTAAGATATGAGTTATGTTTCACCCTAAAAGAGCATCCAAGAAGGAAAAATCTATCAAAACAGTGTACATTTTGACCAGTGATTTCTATTCAGGAATAAAATACAATAATTAATATAGTCTGAGGATTGTTTTTGAATATCTAAACCATGCTTCAGTAGGAATTTATGTTTAAGCCCCAGTGTCATATAGATAATACTGACATTTTTTTGGACATCTATCTACAAGATAGCTTTTATTCAAAGGAGATAATAAAGTGTCCTTAAACTTACTCCATGTGACTTGGAGTTTTCAGTAATATACAATGTAGTAGTTTATGTTTCCTCCTATTTATTTTCTTTTCATTTCTTTCTTTCTTTCTTTTTTTTTTTTTTTTTTTTTTTTTTTTGAGTCAAGGTCTTACTCTGTCACCCATGCTGGAATGCATTGGTGCAAACATTGCTCACCACAGGCTCAACCTCCTGGGCTCAGGCTTCCACCTCAAATACTTTCTCTAGTAACTGGGACTACAGGCATGTACTACCATTCTCAGCTAATTTTAATTTTTTAGAGACAGGGGTCTTGCTATGTTGCCTAGGCTGGTGTTAAATACCTGGGCTCAAGCAGTTCTTCCACCTCAGCTTCTCAAAGTGCTAGGATTATAGGTGTGTGCCACCACATCCAGCCTAATCTTTCTTCTAAATAGTGTGTTCTCAAAGTATGGTAAAAATCTCAATTTACCAGATTACTTGGAGAATGAATGGAGTTTCCTATTAAAGGTTTTGGGGTTGGGAGGTTAACTAAAATTTCCTCCAAAATCTTTATGGCAATTTCCTCCACTATGTCTAGAATATCTGATTTTCTGCCCCTGCCAAGTGTAGACTATAAGACCAATTTTTCTTTCTAAATAGAGAGCTATCAATCTGAAAAATGATCAATACCTAGCTCAGTACCTGACTCAAAGCAGGCACTCATAAAATATTTGTTAAATAAATGAATGAATGACTGTATAGAATAACAGACAGACATGCAGAGAGTGCAAAGACTGATGTGCTTATTACTGAGCCAGCATATGAATTGAGAGCATTTTTAAAAACCACTGATATGACCTTTCTTATGTGAATTGTTGTTTTTTCTTACTAGTGAAGAGTGATATTAAGCTTCCTGATGTCTGTCACTGATTTGAGCTTCTGCCGTGTGAATGTTGCTTATTCCGCCGTGTGAATGTTGCTTATCCCGCCATGTGAATGTTGCTTATCCACCCGAGTAATAATTCCTAATTCTGGCTGTGTTTGCTTCTGTTACAGCTATTGTCCAAGGAGATACCTTAGAAGATATATACAACCAATGCAAGATTGTTATTGAAGAGCAATCTGGGCCTTTCATCTGGATTCCCTCAAAGGAAAAGTTATAAATTAGCTACTGCGCCTCTGACAACAACAGAAGAACATTTAGAAGAACAAAATATATATAATATACTACTTGGAGGCTTTTATGTTTTTGTTGCATTTATGTTTTTGCAGTCAATGTGAATTCTTATGAATGTACAACACAAACTGTATGAAGCCATGAAGGAAACGGAGGGGCCAAAGGGTGGGACAGAAAAGACATTGCAGTATGCAGGAAGGCTTTGGTTTGCTCAAAGTGACAGGTGTAGGGATGAGCCTCTGATGGGCTTTCTGCCCAAGAGAAGGAAGCCTCCTCACCCCAGCAGATGTCCAGAGCTGATTTAGCTGCTGAGCTCTCTGTGTTTTTTGCTTTAAAGAAAAGTTGCCAGCACTCGAACCTCACCAACCTTCCCATTACCCACATCTGTAATTGATACACTCTGAATTTTATAACTATGCACATCCTTTGATTTCTTAACAAGCAAATGGAAGGAAGAAGGAAAAAAGAAAGGAGTCCCTTTGGAGACGGCATACTATCAGGGAAGGATAAGTGTGTAGTTTTTTGACTGGCAACTGCAGAGACAAGCATTTTGTAAAATTCACAAGTGATGAAGGACTAACCTTACTGAGAGGAGGGGATTCCACCTGAAATTAGCTTTATGATTGTTGATTGTCTATTTTGCCATTTATAAACTGAAAGAAGGCACTAAAAATGAGAATAATTTATACAATAAAAATATATTAAATGTATAGAAATGAATTTCTATAGGTTAAAAAAGTTTTGTGAAATATTTTGTAAAGACTAATTAACTGAAAGACTAAACATATGCACTATCAGCAGATGATCAAATTCAAGAACTGAAAGTTGCACTCTCCCTTTTGTTGCCAATGACCCCTTACGAGCATCTGAGTTTCTTCGAAGTCTGACAAAGACTTTTTCCTCACTTTCCTCCCATGATCTTCCTTCCACATTAGCGATACACTCTCATGGAGCACATCCCTTGATGAGTTGACCTCACGGATATTTTTGGAACGCATTTGGTGAATGCATTTTTAAGCCATTGGCTTTTCAGAGACAAACTCATGCAAATGATCTAAAGGGAAGTTTTTGCTTTTTTCTAGTTAAATAACCTGAGCCTGCCATGCAAATAGTTGAATAACTTTGTTCCTAGTTACTTACATACAACATGTAAAGGACCATTTAGTATTTTGGCCAACCACGAATAATTAGAATTATTGTGTTTTTTGTTTCACAGAGTATCTGAGAGTTTTATAACAGCCAGAGATGGTATTAGAGCCATGGGGAGATCTGTCCCAAGATGCACTATTTCTTTGAGGAAGAGAGAGAAGTGAAGTATCTAGTTGGGGGTGAGGGGTGCAGACTTTTTTGTTTCTATGTACAGGGCAAAGAGAATGAGCCACAAGGAAAGACAATGACTTTGAGCTCAACCAATTGAACTGCCTTTCTTGGGGCTGCATCTGGACCAAGTTTATTTTTTAACAATTATAATAATGGTGATTTTTTTAAAAACTCCCAAAGCCTATAAACTGAACCAGAAGAGTAAGTTTCCCACTTTAGAGCTGATAGTGACATCAGCATCACTTTTGCCCACGGTGTTTAGAGAGAGACTTTTCCATGATCTCAGTAACCACTCTACTCTGGGTTATCTGCTTGCCCAAACTAAGCCCCATCGCCTTATTTCTGGGGTACATCCAGACCTGGCAGGGATTCTGCCACACTGTGCAGCAAACCAGCATGTAGGCTGGAGTGGGAGAGCAAGAGATAGAGCCATCAGAGTGATGGGGCTTCTTCACAATAAGAACATCGGGGCTCAGAATGAGCGTCTCTTTCCAAAAACAAGCGTTGTTCATCTTACACTAATTATCATTGTCTGCTTGGCTGCAGTCACCAAAACCAACACAAAAATGCAAAATTATGCATCTTCCTATAGTCTTGAGGCTGCCTTTACCAATAGAAGGGCTAGCAATGCATTTTCCCTCTGACAAAAGTTAAATTTCTGGAGACTTCCTTAGAGTTAAAGATGTGTCCATGTCTGCAATTTGCCAGTTTCGGGTCAAGGCCTACTTTCATCAATATTGCTCCCAGAAGTTTTCCACCACCAGAATGCCATTCCTGATCCCAGCTCTATTTTTAGGCCACCATGGTAACTTCTTTGGTTTCTCAACTGAGCATGCAATCATTTATTTAAAGGACTGTCATTAATGAGTAGATGTTTCCGCGGGTCGTGTGATGTGCTTTCCATTTAATAGTATTGCTGTGGCTGAGTACAATCAAACTGAACCACCAATCCTTGGTTTTGTAGTATTATAATTATTTATTTTCCTAGTGTAGATGCTTTCAGATTAGAATTGGCATTTGCACTGATTTTTTATGTAGATTTATATAAATATAATACATATATATTTGCTTGAAATATCACCAAGCCAAATGGTGAGAGGGTCTTTTCCTATAGAATTTACACCTCCATTTTTTGTGTTGTCTCACGCTTCCTAATGTTGAGGTCTCTAAGGCTCCAATGAACTGGTGTATTTTGTAGCAAATCTGATGACCTGTATGGAAGTGGCATGAAAGTTACCCAGATTACATCTGGTGCAAATGCACTCGGAGCCTGGGGCCAGACTGGTGCTAACACTGCAAACTTTGTCCAGAGCTCTCTCCAATCTGAAGGCTTGCTGGGGGCACAATGTCACCTTCACATGCTGGGCCCTTTCAGAAAAGTGCCAGATCGTGTCACTGGTGCTATTTTTCATGCTCTGGTACAATGTGTAGCACCACGGGGGTCTCAGCTTTACCAAAATCAAAATCCCCTTTGTCAGCTAATTGCAGGGGCATTTGTTTTTTGCTCTCCTCCCACAGGATTTGTTGGCCATTTAACTGCAGGCCATTTCTCCCAGCCCCCAACTCTTGGGTTGGCTCTGTCTGCTCAGAAAGCCTGTCTTCATGAAGCCGCACTCAGGTGCCTCTGTGAGCTGTCTTAAATCCTACTGCCAGCCCTTCAGGACTACGAGCCAGCGAAGAACTCTCCAATGTCTGGCTCATGACTCTGTTGTTTTTCTCCTCATTCTTTTCCTCTGCTCTCCTCCTCCTTTTGTTGCTATCTCATTCCATCTTTCTTTCTTTTCTTTTTTTTGATCCTCTCCTTTTATTCTTCCTTCTCACCATCTCTGAGTTGTTACTTTTCTCCCATAATACTTCCCAATTGCCTTTCTCTTTGCCCATCTCTCCTTTGGTCTCAGTCTCTGCTCTTCTTATTCCCTTTTAGCCTCGCTTTCCCATCCTTTCTCCTCTCCCCACATCTCTGATCATCTCCTCCCCCACACCCCTACACTGATTTGTCTGTCCTATAAGGGCTCATGGCTCATTCAGACAGCAAGTCCATGCACTGGACTAACGACACAAATACTTGGGGTCTCCGTTCACCTACTCAGCCCAGAAAGCAAAGCTGAGCATGGGGCCCTGGCCTGGAGCTAGCTCCAGCCGGCCCCAGGAGCCAGCCTGCACCGCTGCCCTGGCAGCGATGATGCATGTGCTGTGGGCCCTGCCAGCACCTGGGTGCCTCTGCCGGAACGCTGCTCCTATGTGAGCCCACTCCCAGCACCATCCGTGGCTCTGAGGACACTTCTTTTCAATAAAGGCAGACTCTAGCCCCAACAATTATTCTGACAGCAAAACTCTTCCCATTGAAGCCATGCCATCGCCTTGGTTTGGAGAGAGACATTTTTTCCCATCCATAAGCTTTTTTTTCCCCCATTTTCATGTGAAGCCCCTTCTGCTTTTCAGTTGGTGTTTGCTCTGGTGAGATTGAGTGGGCTCGCTGGTGAAATGACATCTCTTCTTCCCTGTTTTGGTCCTGCCTAAATTCCTACAAATATATTTAAGCCAAGGATGCAGGCTAGTTTCTAAGTTTATCATATTGTCACTTGTAGCTGGAAAAAAGATTGGTTCCCTTGAAGCATGTGGAGTACCTCCTGTGGCAACTGATTTGCCGGGGGACTCCCAAAAGAATTCTGTGGACATAACTTTACTATGTGTATGTATAGTATACATGGTGTGCATACCATGTGTACACATCTGACACTGGGTATGAATGACTGTGGCTGGAAACCCACACACACACTGCAGTCTGTAAATATCCTTCCTCGCTGAAACCTGTGCTTTGGAAATCATTTCTTGTACAGCTGTGCAGTTTCTTGTAGCAGCTGAGGACAAACCTAAGACAGGTGGACAATTTAGACAAAGATCATCTAAAAGTACAGTATCTCCCTAGCAATTCACGAGGACAGACAACCAAGTGGCAAGGTTGACTCCCAATGGGATGGCAAACTTTTCTTCTCTCCTTTTTGAATTTGTGTTTCCTAAGTGTGTCTTAACTTCCGAGTGCACCAGGCTGTACCCGTTAGATCCTTTCAATATAACAATTCTGTACTTCTCTCTGACAGGATGTTTCTCCATCAAGCTATAGTGCAGGATGGGAGGGAGGGGGGATACTCCTTGCCTGGGCTGGACTTTACAGAGACACTGCACAGCTTACACTCCTGTTAAGTGTAAATATTCAACACTTCCATTCCATTTGTGTAAAAAATAAAGCACACACGATTATAAAATCAAGATGTATATTTCATACTCAGTGTGTCCGTGCATATTTATTGCATTTTCAGTTGTCAGCAGTGGCCCCGTTGTAAAAATGCCTGATAGAGTGTTTATAAACATGTCGTGGTTTTATTATGAGATATAAATATTAAAACATTTTGTACTTTATAGCAAATTATTTTCTCCCAAAGCATAATTTGTCTTATTTCACAGAATCATTCATTTCTATTTTTATCAATTTTGTCCTATTCCAGAACTAAGGAGCATTTAGGGTAGATTTGCTCTGAGAAATGTTGGCACTACCATGAGGAATTGAAAGTAGTGTTTTTGCATATTTTTAAATATTTGGTTACCTGCTTTTCATCAAATTATGAGATTCCAGAAGATACTAGGAATAGAGAAAAAATACTTTATCTGAGATGGATCACACAAAGAAAGACACAAATTAGGGAGGAGGTATCCATTGTCTATACACATTGGGGTCACTAAAGATTTGAACATATCAAAAATGTCAGGTTTGGGAGTCTGCATCTGCCAGATAATATTCTCAGTTCTTCACTTCAGGTTAAATATATGCTTTGTCATATTGACGTTTAGCCAGCATAGGTCTGACAGCTGGAGAACCAAAACAAATTCCACCTATGAAAGGGGTGAAATTTCCCATCAAAGTGATCACTTTGGATGGAGTATGTTTTGCTTCATGATTAACTATCATATAATTGCATCAGCCATTTGAGAAGTCAGACAAGTTGGTCATACCATCCTGGCCATTCATGAACTAACAGGAATCCCTGGCATCTTGAAGCTGTCCCTGGAGCTTGGTGGTGAACAAAGACTCTCAGGGGCAGCATAAAAAGAAACTGACTGAAGCTGCAAGATCAATGTAGCCCTCAAATTTTGACAGTTATTCAATTTTTAACATTTACACAGTTTTAATATTAATGGCAACATTACACAAAAGTCAAATTCACTTCAGTAATGGGTATATTTATTCAAAAGGAAAGAATGTTAGAAGAGCCTGTGATTTTTCCTGTTTCATTTCTGCTTAACTATTTTAAACCATGATCATTCCAGAAGTCTCAAAAGCTAGAAGTGACTGTCATATCTCTGAAACTAAGAGGACCTAGTTATGAATCTATGAGCTCTGTAGATAGTGTGCTGAGACCAAACACCCAGTGACAGAATTTAAAGGCCTCACCAAGGCACAAAGCTAAGGAACAATTGTAGAGGGAGCCACAACCAGATCAAGTCTTTAAGTTATCAGGGGAAGATGTGTTCTGTGGATAATAACTCCAATTCCAATTTTTGTTCTCTATGACTCACATTTCCCCTAGGGACATCTCAGAAGGCACCACTGCTGTCATTAAACAGATCCTCCCCTCTTTATTTTTATTTATTTATTGAGTTGGAGTCTCACTCTGTCATGTGGCAGGAGTGCAGTGGCGTACTCATGGCCACCACAACCTTGACCTGCTGGGTTCAGGCAATCTTTCCACCTTAGTCTTCTAACTTGCTGGAACCATAAGTGTGCACCACCATGCCTGGGTAATTAATTTTTTTAATTATAGAAATGAAGTCCCACTAAGTTGTACAGGCTGGTCTCGGACCCCTGGGCTCAGGCAATCCTCTTGCCTGTGCTTCCCAAAGTGTGGGGATTACAGGCGTGAGCCACTGTGCCCAGCCCCCTACCCTTTTTAATGTTACACCCAAAGCATCAAGTCTGGACTTTGACCAATTCCCCTTAGTATAGTTGAACAAAGCTAGAACACTTGGGCAAATTTTGCTAAAGCCTAGAGATAACAAAAGGGAAATGGAAGACATTCTGATTTATGTATGGGCTTATTGCCCAGGCTCTGGCTAGCTGACATGAGATACAGGTTATCTTTCTCCTACCTCCCAGGCATCCCTCCAATATGGCTAGACCAGACATCAGAACCTTCCTCTGCTGCAGTACACATGAAAGGTGGTACATCTATGCCTGCCTCAGCACCTGCTACAACAGCAACAGGTGAAGGGCACTTGCTGTATCCATCCCCTTTGCCTCTACATACTAGAATACAAATGAGAGTGACTCACTGTGGCTAACTTTGATTACTACTTCATAATAAACTTCAAAGGACAAATGTTTTGCAACATGCTTCACAGTTGATACTGATGAATCAGTGAAACAGCACTGGTCTAAACTGATCAAAGCCCAAAAAGCAAGGTCCAAGAGAGACACAAGTTCTCTCTCACCCTCCAGCCTTCACAGTTCTGCTTTTTGTCTTGTTTAAATGAATGACTCGGTTGACCTCAAGACTTCAGAAGGATGACGTGTAGGAATATTGCATAGCATAAAACCAACATCCACACCATGTGCCAAATACACAGCTTCATTCTAGCAAAATACAATTGACTCTACTTCCATCTGATAGGAGAGGAAGGGAAGTACTTTATGTTCAGGGGACATTTAAATTTCAATTCATATAGCTCTAGATAGCAAATTACAAGTCCTCAGTAACAGAGGTAGAGTCCCTCAGAGACTGCACTTGATTTTTATTCAACAAAAATATGAAACCAACCAGCCAAAAGGTTGGATCCTGATTGGATTGTTTGATTTTCATGAGCCACACCTGTGACTTTGATATTCTTAGTAACCTTTCAGCAGAAATGGTTGCGACCATCATTCTCACTCATCTGGTAGTTCTGGTATGAGTAACTTCTGGGGTGAGGAACTCTCTCCCCTGTGGTTTTCCAACCAATTGTTTCTTATAATATCACTCATCCTAATTTACTTCAGCCACCAAACCCAGCTTCAGGTCTGCAGTCCTTCTCCTTAACAATAAAAGTGGACTGATTTTGACTATCTGAAATTCTTCAGAGTATAAAGTTATAGAAAAGTATAGCATGTATTAAACTGGGGTCAACTAATACATTAAAATTTGGAGTCTTTGAGTCAACATTCAGTGCAAAGAAAGGCAAGCACTTGGTTAATTAAAATTGCCCCAAAGGAAAACACTTCCAAAAAAGTTAACATGTTTTATTATTTATCTCTCTGATAGTCATTTCTTATACATTTGGTCAGTAAACAATGAACACTTGTTTGGAGTCGGCTCTATTTAGACGGTGGAGTGATAAATACACAGAAAACAGTCTATCTTCTCAAGGAGTGCAATCCTAGTAGCAGAGACATTTTAAAAAATATAATTAAGGCCTGGCTCAGTGGCTCACACCTGTAATCCCAGCACTTTGTAAGGCTGAGGTGAGAGGATTGTTTGAATCCAGGAGTTTGAACCAGCCTGGGCAACATAGTGAGACCTCCTAGTCTCTACAGAAAATTTAAAAATTAGCCAAGTGTGCTGGTGTGTGCCCATAGACCCAGCTACTCGGGAGGCTGAGGCAGAAGGATCATCTGAGCCCAGGAGATTGAGGCTGTAGTGAGTTGTGATCATGCCACTTCACTCCAGCCTGGGCAACAGAGTGAGACCCTGACTCAAAAAACAATAAAATAATTAAAACATAGAAACTCTGAAACAGAACGGTGAGTACATGAAGATTCTGAAATAGTGACCTTAACATCCAGGTGTCACACATACGCCTACTCATGACTTGCCCCTTTGCTCACACCCTGGGAAGAACCTTTTTGGTAACACTGAGTCCTTTCTCCAGCATTCCTGAATCTGCCGTTTTCCTGATATCTCATCCAATCCCATCTCATCAGCCACCTGACTGGCCTACTATATCCACTTGTTGTGGTTTTGTGTGTGTGTATGTGTGTGTGTGGTTTTTTTTTTTTTTTTTTTTGGTCTGGGAGAGAGGTGAGAATGACAGATTAGCACAAACTAGCTTGCCAGATGAATGAAGAGGGACAGGTAAGGTGGACACAACATATGGGGAGGTTAGTAGTTCAGAAATTCTGCAAGAATTATCAGGAAACAAGAAACAACTTAGACGTTTGGTCAAGACACAGGACAATCCATGTACTCATAGGAGAAACAAGAGAGTTGGAAAGTGTTTTCTTTGCAATGCACTGGCTATTCAATGCATCAAAGATCTGCTTCAAGATAAAATGGTGCAGTGAGGCCCTCTTTTCTGAGATTACAATTTGTAGCACTAAAATACATTACTTAGAACTGTAGGCAGCATTTGATTCCCTTGGTTTCCTGACCTGGAGACTTAATCAAAAGCATTCGATAAGAACTAAAGGGAATGCTGGGCATGGTGGCTCACATCTATAATCCCAGTACTTTGGGAGGCTAAGTTGGGAGGATTCTTTGAGCCCATGATTTTAAGACCAGCCTGGGCAACATAGCAAGACCTCGCCTCTACAAAAATTGAAAATTAAAAAAGAACTAAAGGGAAGGTTAGACTCAATTTTTAAAAAACATTAAATGTGGACCCTAAACCTATAAGTAGGTCCCCATTTCTGCTATTAACCCAGGAGACACTTCGGAAGATTTTTTTTTAAAGTGATGGTTGAAAGAGAAAATTAAAGTAATATGCCTGTAAATGCTTTGGTATTTTGTAGAATAAATTCTCAGTCATTTGGTGTCAGGCATGACCTTGACATTGAAACCCAAATCTATTTTTAGTTAGACAACTTACACTCCCTGAAATGGCGGCCAGAGCTTTGGACAAAGGGCAACACTGTTAGAAATACATCATGGCACTTCCTAGGAGGGCCAGACCAGGCATGGGGATGAGTTACAGACTGTTAAAAAGAAGTGAGACTCAATAATGCAATGACCGCTTGGGCTTCTCTCATTGAAGTTGTACATTTCACCCAATAATCTGAAGCAAGTTCACAAGAAGAGAATTCTAGCACAGTCCCCAGTCATTGGTTTGCCTGACCCTCCTATCAAGACTGTGTTGTAGTGAACAAAGAAAGCATGCCCTGTGCTGGGGACATGAAACCTGTTTTGTCACTATATTCCATTTGAAAAAGAGCTTCACAGAACAAGGACAAGACCTTGGCCTTGGTACCAGCCTACCAGGGGAGCTTGAAGAAAGCTATGCCCAGGCTCTGGGTCCCCTTCCCTGAGTTAACTGCTACAGAGCTCTCCACAACCCTGGAAACATCAGCCAATCCTGTGCCTCCATGATTGGGCAGACTACCACCCTTATCTCAAAAGGTGTTCTGAGACCAGAGACATTAATCACCTGGAGCCTGTTACAAAGTGCAGAATCTCAGGCCCT